TCTATAAATGACCTTTATCGCATCGGCAGCAGAAGGAAGGGCCGGGATTATCAGTTATTCCCACACCAGTTTCTTTTGGTATGCGATTAACAATCGATTAATTCTTGAATTGAATTGAATTCGGGAATCTTTTTTTGATTTTTTGCAAAGATTTTCTCTTAAATGAAGGTAAAACATGCAGCCGTTTTTTCTAGTGCCGCCCTTCATAGAAGATCCCAGCACCTGCACTACTATGAAACAAGTCTGCTTGGCTTTATCCTCATGTATCCACCAGATGTAATGTAATTTTTTGTTTAATCCAGTAACGTAAAATCTGTTTGATGCATAGCCAAACATGTCTGTGCAAAAAAAATGAGCGACATATTGAACCAACATATGCTGACACTTTCATTTACACAAAAACGATTTCTATGAATAGACTTCATTACCTCTTGAAGACCAGACTTTGCTGTTAGAAGAACATGCGGCTTGCAGATTATTGCGTTTAAAGGCGTCCATGTTTATACGCGTCGTCATGTTGTTTTTGAGCAGAAATGACACTGAACTCCAGACGGATGGTAGTTTTAGGGGGTCCGTTTGGCACGGAGCTGTGGTCTCCTTCCTGTTTTAAGGATGTGAACTCATTAAGTCTAATGCCTGGCTTTGTTCTTTATCTCCCTGGAGTGTTTTTAGTAACTTTTGAAAACCTAATTTTGCTAAATTACCCACATTAGAAATATAGTTTCAAAACAATTGATTTCCCCCTATTGCTCTCTCTCTCTCTGTGTCTGTCTCTCTCTCTCTCTCTCTTTCTCTCTCTCTCTCTAATTATGTTTTTCCCCTGCTTGGTTTCACTCTGAACAATGGCGGATGCCATCTAATCAGGCTGGGTCTGTGCCACAAAACTCCCAGCAACAGCTGAAGCTCTGCCCTGCTCTGTGCATACCAAGCAATCAGCCACGACCAGCGAGCGCCAGCCTGGTGCCCAACGCGGGGTCAGACAGTTTTATTAAGGATCCGTCTGACACTCAGCACAGGCTGGCAGTGCCAACGCACAGATAAAATCTTGTGTGCTGCTCACACTATTCATCTGAGCTAGCACATAAATACTCCCTCATCCCACATGCTCACACACACACACACACACACACACACACACACACACACACACACTCTCTCACCCGCGAGATGAAAAACACTCTCACCCACACACACACACTCTCACACACACACACACACACACACTCTCTCTCTCACACACACACACACACACACACACACACACACACACACACACACACACTATTTCATCAGCTAGATGAGAAAAGGAACAAATACTTGGATCCAGCCAGGAACGAAGATTTTGTTATTTAATAAACGGCCCGACTTCTGAATGGTCCAGCAAGCATCAGGGTCTGATGTCTCAGCCTCATTGGCATGGTTTCATATTTACATTTTTGGCTGATAGCACATTGGACTGAGTTTCATTTGTGTGTATCAGAGCAAAAAATGTTTCGTTTTCTGGCTGATAAGTCTGACCTGACACAGGCATCCAGAAAGATGGCCAGACATGCAAACAATGAATGAATGAATTTGAAATAGTTTGATATTTTATTCATATTTAGAAATATTTATTAATAGTTTAATAAATTGTCTGGCTGTCAGATTAGCTAAAAATAAAACGGATGGACTGAGAAAAGTTTATTCATAGACTGACAAAATAACTTTATGAATAATGAAATAATAAATGAAATATATAATTCCTATAATTCTCATAAATTGTGCATAAACCTTGCTTAATTGACTTGGATTTGCGGTTAAAAAGAAATTTAGTTTTGAAGTAAAATTATTTTGTTTTATTTTAATGGACAACAAGACAGAAATGTTGATGAAGAAATTGTTTGTCGTTTAAAATTAAATAAAAAATGCTTGCACTTATAACATGAAATGTGTATTATATCAATGTACACAGAAATCAGTAAATCAAACATTTTGAAATATAAAACATACCTAAATTGCGTTGCGTGGTTTATTTGAATACTCTCCTCCCATAAATTTTGCGTCTGAAAGGGAAACTCCTACAAATGCATACAGCACTACTTCTTCACTGCGCATCTTTAGTAAATCCTGACAGTACTATTTTAACGCCGAAAGACGGTTTGCGTTGGCGCAAGTTGTTAGTAAATCTGGCCCATATTATCTTAATTAAAACATACAGGCGTATGAGCAAAAAAAATTAAAAAATCAAGCAAGTAAAGAAATTAAAATATTAAAGGGGTCATATGATGCGATTTCAAGTTTTCCTTTCTCTTTGGAGTGTTACAAGCTGATTGTGCATAGATCGAATCGTTTAGTTCACCCAAGAATCACGAAGTCGCCCTTGTTATAGCCCGCAAGAAAGATTCCCTTGATAAATGTCAGGAGATAAAGACCGGCCACTGAGGAATTAAAAGAGCCCGCTGATGGTGTGTGAGTGTGTGTGTTCTCGCTAACCGCATGCGGTTTAAATAAACTTAACATTTGTCTGGGATAAAGCTACTGAAAGTAGATTAAGCACTGAGAGCTCAGGCAGGAGAAGCTGCTGGAGCCGGGTGAATTTACAGGATTACAGGAATCTTTCTTCCATTGGTTGTCAGGGATTGTTGTGGTACATGCTATCAGTGCAGGTCAGAGGAAACAGTGGGTCCTTCTCACTGCTCACTGCAGGTACAAATAACAGGTGCAAACACACAGAGCCTCAGAACGTCTGCGTACATCCAGATGCTGCCACTGACACAGAATGCACTTGTTCATTGTGCAAAATATATTGATGAGCATGATGACAAACATTCATTTTCCAATATACTCAAATTCTACTTTAGTGCTCAAAAGTACTGAACATGTATTGATAATCTGTGCTGTACATGAAATTTTGATTTCTAATTTCACTTTACAAATACAACATTTGAAATGTGAGATTCTATTGTAAATGCTGTTCCAGTTATCATATCTGATATTGGCCATAACAAAAATATTTTGGTAAAACAGATCAAGTCTCAAATCTGTTTCATATTACTTGTGTTACGCATATTACTTCCTGCAAGATTTGTTCATTCAGAATATTACTGCGTGTTAATCAAAGCTTGTTTTATTATTATTTGTTGTCACCCTTTTATTAAAGCAATAATCCACTGGAGGCCACGTATTAGTCACTTTATTATAGTCATGTCATATTGAGCCTATTAAGAAATCATTTTACCCACTGTTAACCCTAGTGAGAAATAAATATACTAAAATGTATTTGAAATACATTTATTTCATGCTAAGTATACTACAAATATATTTACCTATTTATGTACTTAATAAAATTACCCTGCAATTACTTTTAGTATACTATACTGGTATATTTAAACGCTGCTAAACTGGAACAACTTAATTTTGTGCTTAATGCACTTTAATTTTGCGGAAGTAGTGCTGAAGTCCAACTAAAGATAAACTGAAGTATATTTGATTGTGCTAAAGTGGAACTAGTGCAAGTATACTTCAGCTACACTTTAAATATCTTGCATTTAAAGACTGATATTATTCAAAGATCATACAATCCTCATCAATAGTGACATTAAAACACATTTTAAGAAGTTTGCGTTGTGCACAAGTTCTCCAAATAAAGTTTAATTATCATTTTTATATCAGTAAGTCTCAAGCGATACGTCAGTAAATATGTTAATAGATTTGAACTATACTTAGTATGAAATAAATGTTTTTTTAAATATATTATTTTTTCTCTGTTTCACACACTTTGTGTTTCTTTTAACTTTCACTGGCTATTGGTATAGAGATACATTTCTATTATACACTGGTTTCCCACACTCATTCACTGAACAATATTCTTTTTCTCAGTGTGAAGAACATTTTAATAATCTACCTTTTCACTTTTCAACCATTTTGTCCAATGGAAAGGTTCCAAGGATGTTAAAGGTTCTTCATGAAACCATCAATACCAATGAAGAATCTTTATTTGTGAGAGTGTAGAACCAGGTTTTTTTTTTTTTTTTTTTTTTTTTTGCATGTCTTACTATCAGCCATGATTATTCTACTCTGTTAATTAAAAGGC